GAAACGATGGAAATTTTTTCAATTTCTAAGAGTAATGTCTTCGATTAGATTTGATTTGTGATCTTTTGACGTATCGTTGAAAGAAATCCATTTGGTGAGAGCTGAGAAAAAGTGGTAACAGTCACAAAAAAAAAAATACATCTTAGTAAAACCAATACCTTCTCAGCTTCTAATCAAAGCAAAAATTATTTATGATTGGTAAATTCATAATGTACAGGTTATTTTTTTATCTTAACTCACTCAATTATTTACAGAATAAATATATTTATACATTTATTTCTTTTTGGTTATCAATAGTTACACGTTATTCTTGAATTATTAACTATGTAATATTTTTAAGTTCATCCCTTATGCCTTGTAAGAGCGTCAACTTTGTTTTTCTAAATAGAAACACATATTTTTAATTTAGTAAAATGTTTAAGTTTTTAATTTAATAGTAAATGACATTTTAATTTTTACTAAAACTTTATTTGTTTATTAGATATAAACATTTAAAGTTTCAAATGTTTGAGTTAATATATAATATTATATATATATTATATAATATGTATAATACATAAGGGATTACAAATATAGTTAGCTAATTGGTTTTTTATGACATCGCTGTCACAGTCACGGATTGTTTATTATCAATTAAGACTATCAATAGATATACTTTTTATATAGTCAGTTAGTGTATTTATGAACTCACAACAATGTGTCTTATTACCACTGATAATAACAATGCTGTGTACCTGCTAATATCGATGTCATAAAAAACCAATTAGCTACCTGTATTTTTAATCCCTTATATATGATACCTGTAAATTAACTCAAAAAGTTGAAACTTTAAATGTTAATATCTAATAAACGATTTAAGTTATACTAAAAATTCAAATGCCTTTATTAATAAATTAAAATGTCAAAGATTTTATTAAATTCCAAATGTGTGTTTCCATTTAAAAAAACAATGTTGACTCCCTTACCAGGCATAAAGGATGAACTTATAAAGTACATCATAGTTAATTATTCAAGAATAATGTGTAGCTAAAGATAATCGAAAAAAAAATGTTTAATTTATTATTATTCTGTAAGTAATTGAGTGGGTTATGTTAAAAAAATCACTCAGTAGAACAAAATAAATATACAATTAAAAGAAACCAAAAAAACTTATCGATATTTTTTTTATTTTAACCAACTAAAATGAAGGTCTAAATAATCGAACTTTATTTAAGAACAATTCCATAAAATTTTTTTTATGATTTGACACGACTTACGTGACAAAAATGTGGTCGACATTGGTTTTGAGGGTAAAGACCCTAGGGCTATTTATTAATGAGCAACAACAGGTTATTTTAACAAAAATATAAAACAAATGTAAAAGATGAACACAATAATAATAGTTTTCGCATAATATCGCGGCACTTTTGCTGGCGTGGACGAGGCGATGTCCGGCGTGATCCTCGGGCGTCAAAAGGTTAGCAGCGTTGTAGGCGACGGTGCTCTGGTGCGGTTCGGTTGGTCGACGTTGTCACTTTCACATCGGGAAGAAGACTCAGCGTATCATTTTTGGCGGGTCGTCTTTGGTCGTGGGACACTTGCTGGACTTTGCACCGTAGCGAATGACACGCGGTGTTGGTCAGTAAAATACTCATAAAATAGGACGACAGCCGATAAAGGTGTCACGAATCGTGGGGCATCGTGTAAAACGAAGCGACGCAGGTCGTGTCAGATTATGATACTGATCACTGTTTATGATAAATTGTATTAATACGAGAAAGTGATTTGGTTATAACCACCCATTAAAAATTTTCTGATGTTCATATTATTTTTCAAGAATTTTATTATATTTGTTAAGTTATAACATAACATTATTAGCAAAACATTAATTTTTACTAAATATTAAATTTTTCCCAATCCTTCAATTTTTGATAAATAAGTAATAGAAAATTTGCTATGGACAATTTTATCTTTCTCTTAAGATAATTAATTTTTAATTACTGTATGTTTATTTTTTATTGCGAATTTTCCTTATGTAGGTGCTATTCGCCCAATCTTGTCTATGTGTACAGGAAGATTGATTTTGTGTAAGGCATTCATTTTTTCAGAAACCATTGAAAAATTACAAACAATTTGGTTTTTATCATTTTTTTTATTCGATTGATCGTTCATCCATTACACTATTTTGATACAATCAGTGGGTGTGTGTTGCGTAGTGAACATGTGAGTACAGTATATAATACGAACAGTGCCCAACTGTGGTAAAAATTGACTATAGACCAAATGGGTACTAATCATTTTTGTAATCTGAGGAGGCTGGAGAATTTACCCATAATGCATAATACAAGAAAAATAAAATGGGGAAAGTTGATTTTATTGTTATTTGTATAAAAAATTTTATGTATAAATAATTAGTTGAAGGTGCTCTGTTACTAAAAATAAACTTTGATTTTTTTTAATTAATTTATATTTCTAAATACAATTAATATTAATTAATGAGAATTTTACGAATTAGACTCTATATATCAAGTAGTATTTTTACCTAACTTCAAGTTTTTATGGCGAATAATTTATCTAAGAGATATTATGAATGCTTAAAGATATTAACTAGTCCCACCTATCTCTATTATAAAAACGTTTACTAAAAAATAGTTATAGAATTATTATCTTTTAGTAATTTATTACTCAAATTAGAAAAATTTACATGATAA